ACAGACAAAAATCAAGGAGCTGCCGCAGGCCTATGCCAGGGGCTCCCAACCAGAGGCTGACCCGGACACTTCCCCACACTACGAGGTCCTGGACCGCATCCTGGGGGGATGACACAGGGGAAGAGGAGGAAGACGATGGCCAGGAACTGCAGGAGACTTCAGGGAGCGTGCCCTGCACCCAGGACCCCCAAGCCGTCCCAGAGAGCCTGTCTGCGGTCTCATCTGAGGCCGGAGAGGCCTCCACATGTGAGTGCCATCACTGTCCCCTTATGCAGGGCTGGGGGGAGGGAGAGCCCAGGAACTGTGCGCGTGGGCCTTGCTGACCACGAAGCAGGCGGCAACCTGTGCATCTGCCGTGCCAGCCGCATATAAATCTGTTGGAACTTCGAGCAATCTTCTACGCATGCAAACACTTTCTTCCCCAGATCAGAGGGCTTACAGTAAGGATACTGACAGACAACGTAGCGGCGATGTATTATGTCAACAGACAAGGGGGAGCACGATCACGTTCCCTATGCGCCGAGGCAGTGCGGTGCTGGAATTGGTGCATACAGAACAACGTAAGCATAACAGCATCGTACTTACCTGGCACCGCCAATGTGATTGCAGACTCCCTCAGCAGACAGTTTCCCACGGATCACGAGTGGGAAGTAAGGACAGACGTTCTATCTGCCATATTCCAGAGATGGGGTACTCCACTGGTAGACCTATTTGCAACATACGACAACAAGAAATGTCACCTATATTGCTCGAGAGCGGGGCTCGGCAAGAGCTCTCTCGGCGATGCGTTTCTGATCAGGTGGAAGAAAGCACTTCTGTATGCGTTTCCTCCCACGCCGCTTATCTCCAGAACACTAGAGAAAATCAGGTTAGAGGCAGCAACGGTCATTTTCCTAGCTCCAGCATGGCCCAGACAAGCCTGGTTTCCATTCTTACACAGGATGTCAATTCAACCACCTTACCTTCTTCCTCTCCATCAGGATCTCCTCACTCAGGAAGGGGGGACACTGTTACACCCCAGGCTGCAGTCGCTGCATCTGACGGCGTGGCTTCTTACTGGTTGAAAGGAGATGAAAATCTATGCTCCGAAGAGGTCAAGACAGTACTTCTTCATAGTAGAAAACAGTCTACACGGAATACCTACCTGGCAAAGTGGCGGAGATTTTCTGACTGGTGCATTCAGAACAATATACACCCCCTATCGTCTCCTCTACAGAACGTTTTGGACTACATCCTTGATTTACGAGAGTCAGGTCTTACGCTTTCGTCTTTAAGAGTGCACTTGGCAGCCATCAGTGCTTTTCATCAACCAGTAGGGGGTTCTGCGCTCTTCTCTCACGCAATTACAAAAAGGTTCTTGAAGGGACTTCAAAACTTATATCCGCCACGAAGCGCGCCCTCTCCTTCCTGGAATCTCGATTTAGTGCTGGATACCATTATGCACCCACCTTTCGAACCCTTGGCATCGGTTTCGCTACATATTTTAACGATGAAAACAATCTTCCTGCTTGCAATTACATCGGCGAGACGGGTAGGGGAATTGGGGGCGCTGATGGCAAGCCCCCCCTTCACTGTTTTTTCCAAGGACACAGTAACGCTCCGATTACATCCGGACTTTATCCCCAAAGTTTGTTCTTCTTTCCATATCAATGAACCTATCGTTCTTCCGACCTTTTATCCCAAACCTCATTCCTCCAGTAGAGACGCTCTGTTCCACACACTTGACTTCCGACGTGCACTGTCGTTCTACATAGACAGAACGCGCCAGTGGAGACGAACCGACAGGTTGTTGGTATCTTTGGCACCTAGATCGAAAGGCAAGGCACTTTCCACTCAACGCATTGCAAAATTAATCACACTCTGTATTATGGAATGTCATTCAATTAGAAACAAACCTCTTCCTTCATTACCTCGGGCTCACTCCACGAGAGCTGTAGCGACTTCCACTGCATTTGCAAGGGGAGTTCCCCTGGCGGATATTTGCCGTGCGGCTACTTGGGCTTCTAGTATAACTTTCGCACGGCATTATGCCATAACGAAGAGGTGGGCTTCAGACGCTGCAGTAGCCTCTGCGGTACTGTCCACGGTAGAAAATAATTGACCCGGAGCGCGTTCTGGGTTACTGCTTTGTACTCACCTGGAGTGGAGCACCCACGGGGACCACTCGAAGAAGAAGAAGAAGTTACTCACCCTGTGTAGTAACGATGGTTCTTCGAGATGTGTCCCCGTGGGTGCTCCACGCCCCACCCTCCTCCCCGCTCCGGGTCTCTCTGCTTTGTCTTTCAGGGACCGAGCGGTGAGAGGAACTGACAAGGGGGGGGCCGGACCGTTGCAAAGGCGCGAACGCCGCGCGCTCCGCTCGCGCATGCGCGGTCCGGCCCAACTACGGCTATGGAAAACTTCCGATCAGCGGCGCCGGGACGGGACCCGACACCTGGAGTGGAGCACCCACGGGGACCACTTGAAGAAGAACTGGTAGGTAGGTGTACAACCTGATTCAAGTGGAGTTCAGAGGAAGTCTTTGAAATAAATTTGGGATGAACCTTAAAAAAACTTCATCCTTCTGGAAGGCAGTATGGGGAAGGTCTGTGATAAGGTTCCCACACTCACCTACATTTCTGGTGGAAATGACTGCAGTCAGGATAGACACCTTTAGAAATAGATGAAGCATGCAATAAGAGGCTAACAGTTTGAATAGAGGATTGAGGTCCCAAGCCGGCATTGGTTTCAGTACTGGAATTAAGTTTCTGGAAAGGCCTTTCAGAAACACCACAGTTGTTTGGTAAGTCAAGACTAAACATTCTTCAGTGGAAGATGTAAGGCATTAATCACAGCAAATATGCATGTAGTGAGCTGACAGATGTCTTTAAAACAGGGGTTGTCAGAAATGGTAGGAATTAGTGAGAGCTCTGGAAGTGTCTGATAATATTGGGATCGGACAGAAAATGTCTTCCATTTTGCAACACAACATTTTCTCACAGAGCATCTCCCACCACTATTGAGGATGAAATATACTCCTTCTGAACAAGACCTCTCTCTAGGCTCATCATCCATCCAAATACTAGACTGTAAAATGAAAGGATGCTGAGCTGGTGGGAATACTGAGTCAGCAGGATGGAAAATAGCTGGATGTGTATGCACAGATAATACAAAGAATGCTGGACCAAAACTACCTTGGTTACCAGGGCACTACAAGGATTACTGATATCTGACCTGCTTCATTTTCCTCTGGATTTCCAGTAAGAGTGGAATGGGTCAGAAAGCATTATTAGTGGTTCAGAACATAGCACTAAGAATGCCTCCCCTTTGAAACGTCAAACTGCTTAAGAGCAGTAGGCCAGGCATCTCGAAGAGGCAGGGGAGGGGAAGAA